GCTAGCCCCATCTAGCAGTTCCTCAACCAAGAGAAAATATGAGAAAACCACCAAAACTAATGACTTAAAAAAGAAGATGCTATCTCAGAAACAGAGTCAGCTTCCAGAAACTTGGGCAACCAGCATGTGCCCACCTGAGCGCTGTGGCTGGACTGCTCAGACGCTTCCACCAGCCCCACTCTGCAGCTCCTCCATCAAGCAGGAAGAAGAAATATATACTTTACCTCAGAAAAGAGAAGACCCAACCACCACCAAAACTGTTAACCCCCAGAGGATAAAACTACCCTTGGAGCAGAGTCAGCTTCCAGAACCTTTAACACCCAGCATACACCCGCCGGAGGGCTGCTTCCAGACTCCTTGGGTGCTACCACCAACCCCCTCCAGCAGTCCTGTAACCAAGAAACCAAAGTTGAAGGCTGTTCCTAAAGAAGCTTCCAGAGAGGAGGGCTTCCAAAGGGGCCCCAAAGAAGTGATGGTGCTGAATGCAACAGAACCATTTATATATGATGTCAGAGAAGGCAACAGAGAGATGTTTCATGCCACAGTGGCTACTGAGAGCAAATTCTTCCAAGTGAAGGTTTATCATGTTGCCCTGAAGGAGAAGTTCATCCCAAAGAAAATTATTGCCATATCGGATTATGTTGGCCGCAGTGGGTTCCTAGAGATATTCCATACCTTATCTGTGTCCGATGTTAATGCTGACCGAAAGATGGAAATCCCTCAGAGCCTGATTAGAAAGGCAAATGCAACTCCTAAAATCAGTCATCTCCACTTGCAAGTTCCAGGAACATTTGTGAATGGGGTGTTTCAGGTGCACAAGAAAACGGTGTGGAATGAATGCATATATTATGAAGTACAAGACAGTACAGGAGCTATGGAGGTCCTGGTGTACGGACGACTGACCAGAATCCTCTGTGAGGAAGGCGACAAACTTAAACTCATCTGCTTTGAATTGGCATCAAAAGGGGAAGGAAGGCAATTAAGATCTGTCATTCACAGTTACATCAAGGTCATCAAGCCCAGGAAAAACAAGTAACAACCACTCAGCCCTACTTCACATGTGGACACCTCGCAACGTCAGCAGCCAAGCTTCCAGCAGGCTGCTTCTGAAAACCCGGGCGCCATTAATATTGATGTTTATGAAGCTAAGATCTAGGTACCAGGAAAAAAAAAAAAGCTATATATGCATGTGGTTAAAATACAGCAATATATATACAAGCTATTAATTCTTAAAAATGGGGTGTTAGGAGTGCCTTTCATTTCCTTTTTTTATATTTTTCTATACCATCTGAATGCCATGTTTTGCACCTATAAGTTCTTTAATTTGGAAAAAATAATACACAACATGTTTTCTTTCTAAAAAAAAAAAAAAGAGAGAGAAATACATGAAACCCAGAAAATAGAGCATCCAACACAGGAGAGGCACAGAGGAGATTCCCAGGATGCAAGTAAGGATGTACCCAGAGCAATGCTGTGTAGTTGGTCTCAAGAGCAATTAGACCAGATCGACACAGGAGATGTCAGAGGGGAGACTCTAAGAAAGAAAGAAAAAAAGTAACTGATAAATGAGTTGATTTCTTGCCTACATTGTGAGATTTTCTTTTGAGAAGTTTGGAGCTGATTTAGCTAGTTAAGATTAAAGTGAGCACTAAAAAACAAGGCATTTATTAACTTAGGAAAAAAACTGTTGAACAAGAAAACATAATCATAATTAACAACAGGACCGAGCTAGTGAAAATGCTGATTATTTTTGCACCCAGTTGTGATTTAGCCATATTGAAGGTTTAGCAGAAGTGTGTGTGTGTTGGGGAGGTGGGGGTCGGGGTTCTAAATTCCATTAACAGAAAACCAATTGATAATGTTAAAATCAAAATGCAAAATGAATAGGTGCATAGGTAGATTACTTAGAGATAAAGGTAAATGATATGAGAAATGGCTGAAAGAGCTGGAAGTGGTTGCACCTGGGCAGTACACGGAGATGAGGAAGGAAGAGGCAAGTGCCTGCACTGTTTTGGTTATTAACCTTGGAATACTCCTTGACTTAAAAAAAAAAGTAAATGTATTATTTTTATTAAAAAATGAGCTTTTTTCCCATTTCTCCTCTCTGCATCTCTGACCCTTTCTCAACAGCTGATGGGCAAGGTGTCTTGCATACCTGGGGGAGAGAGGCAGGGGAGAGGTTGGATAAGAAGGAACATTGGGCAGCCCTGAGGACAGGTGAAGGGAGAAGGCAACTGAATCCACAGCAAGCGTGAGGCCAGCCCTACAGGGAACAGTATCAGAGATTCCCCACTCAGACTCCTGGGCTCGGCACACTCTGCAGTGACGCCTTTCATAATGACAGCTAAGACGGTGGGGCTCCAGGCTGTCATCAGAGCTCCTGCTAGCGATCTGGAAGAATGAACAAACATCCTGGCAGGCTCTGGCAGCAGGTATTTGTTCTAACTAAGGTTGGCAGTCTGGTCAGGTACTCTTTTTTTTGTGATAAGTTCCTGCTTGTGTAACTGTCTTCAGTTTAACGGTTAAAGGACTAGTTAATGGTACGTGAATGTGTGTGCTTGGGTCTTCAGCTAGGCTGTCATCCCTCTTACATTATTAGCTATGCTTAATGCATTTTAATTTTTCCAGTGGTTCTGCGTTAACCTTTAATTGTAGGTAGTAAGGGGGAGAAGGCTTCAAAATGCTTCAGCAAGAATCAGTCTGATTATACTGTAGCCCCTGCCTAGGAAACTGTATCCTTTTCCACTGAAACAATATTTAGTAAGTATTATCTGTGTGTTGTTTGGGATTAAAAAATGTAAGAATCAGACCTGGATTCAGATCTCTGGGGACTCACCACCCAGTTATAGAGAGAAAGACATTTATGGAAATTAATCACCAAAGACTTTAAAGGAATACAGGTTGAGTGTCAGGTGAAAGTTATTCTGGCTGGAGGCACTAGATGAGATTTGAACTGGACCTTGATGAATAAGTAGGATTTCTCAGTAGAGATGAGATGAGTTGCATGAAAACCCAGTAGCGGGAACAGTGGGGAACAGCATAGGGCATCAGAGCACACTTGGAGAATGAGAAATGGAAGGATGATGCGGGACCACCACATGTGGAGGGACACGGGAGCATAGTGAAGACACAAAGAAGCTGAAAGCAAACCTTCTTTTGGAGGAAAGATAATGACTTCCACTTTCTATTCATTGCATTTTTCTCTTGTGTTGAAGTCTTTGTTGCCTGGGAGATTGAAATAATGCCCAAGACAGAAATGAGATGATTAGGAAGGGGAAGTGGTCTGGAATTCAATTTTGCTACATTGACTCTGAGAGTATGGCAGTCCTTTATATGCAGGTCAGCTCCAGGAAGTGGTTGCAAATGTGTCAGAGGAGAGAGGGTAGGGTTGAGTTTAGAGATTAGGTAGTCAGCACTACAGAAGCGACAAACCATTAGGGTAAATGAGCTCGAATGAGGAATGAGGGGAGAGGAAAGAACAAAATTAGAGGCTGTTAGTGGACAGGAACCAAACAATGGGGACAGAGATTAGATTAGAGAGATTGGAGACTGTCTATGTCTCTACAAAGAGATAGAGATTAGAAGGGTTACGGCACTGGAGAGAAAGAATCTGTCACGGAAACCCAAAATGGAGTGTTTTGAGTTGGTAGGTGGTCACCTGCTAAAAGCTCTTTGGGCATAACTGGATGAAGACTTGGAAAAGGCTGGTTAGTCTGGCATCGCTAGTAAATTTTGAAAGTAAAAGTGCTTGGGGGTGAGAGTGAAGAAAAATGAAAGAGATGAGAGGAGGAAGCCGTGTGAACCTCTTGTTTAAGGAAAGATAAAGTTGATGAAAACACGACTAGATAATTAGCCCCTTGGTAACTGGGGTTAATTACATTAAAGCCTGTGGCTTAAACAAAGTAAACAAATGAACAGATGCATCTTCCTGTGGTGATATATAAATACTTCCATCTAGTATCTGTATCTTCTTTATTGCATTCTCTTTGATTTTGCTTGGCACTTGTTGGTTTATTTGAGAGAGATTGAGACGAGACAATTGGGGCAATTAATTACTTCCTGCTTTATAGAACGCCATTATTTGGCAATTTCACGTCATTCAAATGAACTAAAAGGGAGTAGGAATTAATTCTGATGATAAATAATTACAAAAGGCACATTCAGAGCACCGGGGACTTGAAACATGTTTTCTGGCTTTGTGGTCAACCAACCTTTTTTGACTATGCCAGCAGGGTGTCCCTGGAGAGTGTGAATGACAACCAGACTGCCAAGAGGGGAGTGTGGCTGGAGCAGAGGGAGCAAGGACAGAGGGTTAGGAGAAGAGTTCATGGAGAAAGAGACGGCTGAGCACTTTAGGAGAGCCTCACTAGCCATCCTAAGGACTTTGGACTTTGGCTCTTATTCTGAGTGAACCAGCACATAGCCACATACACTGTCTGGTTTCTCAGCCACATCTGTCTTCCACATCATGTCAGTTTTACCTTTCTAAAGAATTTTTTCAATATAGTTTTATTAAGTTCTTAGAAAACTGCCTGAAATGCTCTTCAAAGTTACCTTACACTTTACAATTAATAAACCAGAAGTTGTTGACATCTTCAAATGGACTCTTTTTGTAGTAAGAGCCATAATAGCTTTAACTGAGAAAATATTCTTTCTACTTGTGCCGGAATATTTGTTGAGTGTAAATTCTGCTAACTGACAATGTTCTCAACTCTCATTGTGTTCCTAGTGGAATTTTAAATATTTCAGCTCAGGAATTTTCACAGATCCATCTTTCTGCCTTCGTTCACAGTACCTCTTCTCTGACAAATATTTTGACAAGGCAAAACTGGTGGAATAAGTTGTCTCTTCTGATGATGATTTTGAATGGGTTACCACAGTTAGATGTGGCAGAACTGTAGATTTTATCCATTTCATTTCAGTCCAGTATAGACTGTGCCTTGGTCCTGCTTAACTGAAAGCCCTGTAACTGACATTTTTGAGCAACAGTTCTGTGCCAAGCACTGTATTATTTCAATGTTTTTCCAATGATTTTTTTAGTATTGAAATTGACTTTTGATGCTAATTACCTGGAATTAGGTCAAACTTACAGGTTAAGGGCACAGTTCCCCACTAGACTGCTGTCACTTCAGACCAGTCACAAAATCAGGGGTTCCCAAGCCACCCACATTTTTGATCAACTGACTTGAGAACACGTACGTCTGGTTAAGAAGGTTGGCAGCTCCAAAGTCTTGTATATTATTTATCATGACTGACAAGACTGCTCTTTTTATGATTCAAGCCCTTTTGTCTCCTTAAAAGAATGTAAATTTAGGAAACATAAAAATGTGCACATTTATACAAATTTAAATCAAAGACTTCTTCCTCCAACACACATTTTTCTGTCTTCTCCCAATTCCATCCCCCTCTTTCCCACATTGGAGCCATCCACATTTTATGGTCAAGGATGAAAGGACCATTATCCAGAGAGACAAGTGAACTGACTGCTGCAAATCTCACCCTTTATCCCAGGAGAAGCCAACTCACTAACTTGTTAGCTCCTGGCATCTTTAGCATCTACTTAAGAATACGGACTTGTATGGATATCTTTGGGCTTGGGCCCTCCCATATGCTTCGGCATCATTAGGTTGGGAGGAAAATGTCCAGAATTCATGGATTCTACAGACAGGAGAGTCTCTAAAGAAGCAATACATAATTGCAGTCTTGTGATCTACAGATTGTCTACTGCAGAAGCACTGCCTATGACTACAGCAGCAACACCTTCAAGTCCCCAGTGCTTAACTGAGAAGCCTGAATGGTCCCCTGGTTCTACTGACGTGATCATAACATTAGTTAGCAATTACGTTTGCCATCAACAAACTGCTCCCCAGATCAGGGCCTTTGCCATAATTGTACACTATGATGAAGTCATTATACATAGATTCAAGAAATTGATACTAGAGGGAAAAAAGGCTGATCCATCTCTTATTGTCCCTGTCCCTTGGGTTAATGTTTTAGGGTTTCAGAATTCAGATGGCAAAAAGCCACTCCAGGTGCAAACAAAGCCTCAGCTCCCACCCCCTGCCCCATCCCTCTCCTGCACCTGTTGAAAGACCAAAGGGAAAGGAAGACTCCTCTGGAGAGACAGTTAGGGTGGACCTGGAGACATCTATCAAGCAAAAAACAATTCTTTGATTTAGAAAGAGGAAAGTAGTGCTGAGCATGAAAGATCAAGGTGACAGTCACTAAGAAAAGAAACGTGACTTTAATTTTGACAGTGTC